TAAACAAGTTGCTTAATAACGTGTGGTTTGCGCTCTCAACATCCCTTAATTTTTTGAAAAAAGGTTCATATAAATGATATATTGTGCTTATGGGCTTTTGCCTTCGCCAACGAGCGTACAGAGTCTGGAAGTACCACATGATCTTTAGGCTTACGGTCTGTGAAAGAAGTGTCAGCTAATGTGTCACGTGATGTATACGTACGGGCTGAAATGTTGGACCGTTTTACAGTCTCATCTGGGAAACGTTCCAATTGATTTCACGAGCCGGAAACCGGAAACTAATGTTGCTGCACTAACCAGGTGGCTTGTGCTCTTCAAATGGCTTAGTATTGCATTATTTCTAGCTCTTTGATTCCTGTTCTAATAGACTGTGGATGGGCACACCGATTCGTTCTGTAAATCTCTGGGTGTTATGGAATGCAAAAAGGCAGACCACCACTGAGAAGTTAGAGACAGACATTTGTCATTAGGGAATGGCACGGCATTGTTAACACGTATCTTCAGCTCGGCAGATAATTAGAAGGCTAAATGTCGAGTAATTTACTGGAGACGCTATCACTCGAAAAGTGAAACTGGAAATCACCGTGGTTTAATTCAATGACGCACTGAATTAGAAAAATTATAGCTGGTTCATCCAAGCGACCACCTAAAACTTTATAGTAGTAGATAACTAGAAAAAATAATACCGCTTAATAAGCTTTTGACAATTATATGACAAGAATCAGCTACTCAGAAAAATTTTTTTGTGATGGGACTGAAACCACTGGAATAAGTTTTAACAGTAAATATTTTTCAGTGAGACGTTTTCGAACACAGAAATTTCCGGTAATTTTCAAAAGCGGCTAAACAAATGTCCAGAACCACCAGTTGTTATGTCAGAATTCTACGCGGAATTACTTCGTATATTTAACTAGCTAGTGTGCTTTAGGTCCACCACAATGTGCATCTACAGTGATGTTGTCGAGAGCGTAAAATAGAACCTTTTCAACATGTTTGTCTGTACCCAGTTTTAAGCCACATGTACACCCCAGGTGTTCTGCTTATCTCACCACAGTAGTGATTCGAGTGTTTGTTTTTGGCAGATCGCTTCCTGCCCACCAAGTCCAAGATGTATGAACTAACGATTTTGGATTTTTAGGTCTGAACATTGCCAAAATATCCTTATTCAAGTTAAAAAACAACCTGAACTCAACACTTATCACCTCGTTTTTAGGTGGTCGTGGAAGGATGAAAACGTTTTTACGCAAAATACTTTTGTGATGATGCCAACAACACTGGATGTGGTTTTACCTTCAAATGACCCAGCTCTAGCAGCCTGAGGCCACAGCTTTACCAAGGGTCTGGTCATGGCAACTTATCCTTGGTTATCACGCCTTTGCGTATGTGGTCTTCGTAGGTATGAAAGCAAGCCGGACATCCGCTTTGGAGTATCATCCTGTTGGCAACAGAGTATTTTGCCCGTAAATGACGTGAACGCAGTACCGAAATGTATCTCACCTTGAAATAAAGGAATTTCATTGTTCGATACAGTACGCTTTATTTTTATTGAGCTTTATAGTTCATAGGATTTTCCTAATTTATATGTTATCAGCTTTTCGTAAGCTCAGAAACCTGAACAACTTTTTTCTTGTTGGTGGGCTTCAGATACTTTTACAGCGTATCGTAGCTGAAACGTACAAGCATCCGCAAAACAATCAGAGTTAGTGATGTGTTTGACTACAGAACTTAGGGTGACGTAGATTTAAATATATTAAAGTGCAATTCCCGTTGGACAGGAAAGCACAAACACAAACGATCCTATCATTTTATGTTTCTAGGGATGTTGCGAACCGATTTTGATACTTTTTTTCTCGGCGAACTCTTCTGTGGCCGAGGATGTTGCAAGTGTGAGCAAGGGCTATACTTTTGGTGGGCTGCAACGATCCATATACAACTTATTTCCTTATGCATATTCTGCTGAGTTGATATTTTCACTATCACAATAGTTTATCAACACTTTAGACATATTCAGTGAAGTTCTTTTGGCCCGGTACACCATAAATTTCTGTGACAGAGATGAATAAACTTCGATAAACAGCTGAAGCGGAAACATGAAGTCCACTGCCTCTCCAGAAAAGTGGTTTTTTACCTCGCATGAACTTTGCATCATTTGGTTTCAGAAACATAGAAATAACTTGGAACACTAAGATACTAGATTATTACTTAAACCTGCCACAGAGTCAGGCAATTTTGTATCAATATGGAGAGCTAATTTGGAAGAAATAAGTTGTAACGGCAGTATGACTAAATATTTGGGGCTCTGGTTGGTTTTTTGGGTCTTGGCAAGGTATCGGTTTCAGCCTTCACTGTGCTTAGCAAACGTCTCATCTCCTCAGGAGAGATATTGCCAGTGTGCGCATTGATGGTTTCCAACCCAGTTCACGTGCCTAAACAGTGCCTCAAGCAGAGCTGTTACTGTTCACGTGCATATCAAGAAATTTACATTTCCGTTAACTCAGATTCACCCGATTTCTCGGGATACGTGACATTTGATTAATACAAGCAAGGTAGTCAACCACATGCAACACAATGTGAAGCTGAGAATATACCAGGTACCTTGATGACAAAGCTGGTCAGATGTAGAGCTTAGTAGATTCTGGATCAAAATTTATTGCTTTTCACCTTCTTATCTCTTATTGGTGCCGTGCTAATTTATTTATTCTAACACCAAGCCACGATTTAGGAAAGATTGTGGGTATTAAAATATTAAGCTTCTCTGTCACGTGTACTAAGAGCTACTTTGAGTGACTTAGTTCCGAAAATCCGGGGTGAAGTAAGTGAGCTACATGGGATAGAAGATTAAATGACCAAGTGTATTGGACTCAGAATGTTCCAGATCAAAGTGCATCTCTGTTTAAAACCAAGCCCAGGGGGCTTGGCCATTATTCACGCCATTAAATTCTTCGTTACGTGCTTCAAATCCTCCGCAAAGGAATGCCGACTTCTGACGAGGGATTGGTCGCATGAAATTCTTGAATCACGGTTGTTACCACGGCAAATTGGCTGTGATATAAGGAGAACAAAGCATCTGTTCAGACGTGTTGTTTACAGCAAATCTTGTTGGATGGGACTTTGGAGCTCTCATTGACGCAAAAGTAAATAAGGCTTACGTTCTCAAACCAAAATGAACGTGGGTGAATGCATCCAGTGGATCAGCGTCCACCTATTTTCCCACCACATAGTTACTTTAGTGTTTGCCTTGCGAACAGTCTATTTTCATATCGCAATTCATGCTGTGGGAGCATGACTTGTTTGCGTTGTTACACCCGTCTGGCTTCCTATGCTCCAGTGAGCTGTATGAAATAAGGTTATTCACCGCCATATCAGTGTTCTTAAGCTTTATTCACCTCAGTCTATCCGAAATCTAGAAATTAACTGACGATTGAAAAATACACAGTCAATAGCAATAGCCTACTAGGAAGGTTGAAGTTAGGTTCCGTCTTTTATAATTTGTCATTTTGGGTGGGTTGGTTTAATATAACTTGGCGATTCGGTCGTTTTATAGAGTTACAAGCTACATTTAAAAAACAAACTAGAACCTTCTGACTTGCTACAAGTAAACAGAGCAATACGCCTTTTTTAGCCGTAAGTCTGTCAAGTTTTACCATTTAGATATTGGGCACATTTTTTGAGGGGTCTGCCAGAAAGGTTTTAGACAGGCTGTAGTACAGTACGAGCGCACGGTCAGCATGTGATTATATGCGGCCATATACAGGAATGTGTTCTAACAGTGAAGTTTTGCCCGACGACATTTTATTACTTTCAAGTGTGAATCTGGTTCCAAATAATGGATCTTGACTTAAAAACCTTAGGAAATACGAACAGGCATTAAATGTGGTTTGTAATGAAATTTTGCCGCGTGTTTTTGATGCAATTGCTGATAAAATTTTCGTTGAAAAATTTTCTGCTTAAAAAGTGTTTAAGTCAAAGTCATTCAGAATTTTAGATAACAATTAGATAAGTTTATCTACCAACCTAACATCTTGTGTAATTGAGCTCTTATGTTATCAGGTGCTAAAATGATGGAGAAAGGGTGTCAATCAAAATTGAAGTTCCCTTTTTATCACCTAGCTTATATTTGTTCACTTTGTAGTTATTTCACAGGAGTATCATGCTACAGAAGCATCAGTTACTCCGTGAGGAGAAACAATATGAATGGATATGAATGGATAAACAATATGAATACTCAAGGATAGAATAGGGCAAAACACAAATAGAAATGAGCTCAAATGTCAGTGGTCACCGCATCTTATTTGGCGTTGTTTGAGAACATCTTACACATTTGGCAAATTTATACGCATCTTATAGTTTTTTTAATAAGCAATAAAAAGTATGCTTCCATGCAACAGGTATCTTCAGTGTTTTTGGTGATTGATAATAATTTGCAAATGACAATGGGATACGTAATATAAGTTCAAGCATTGTTGTAGAGCTCAAATAATAAGCGGTACGGAAGGAGTTTTCGCTTATCTGTTGAAACCAAGATACTAATACACCAAAATACCCGGGATTTTGCATGAAATTTAAACCATTTCTCCTCACATATCCTCACATGAAAAAATTGACTTTAACCGTTCACACGCAGGTGAGAAACAACCAATCCATTTTGTTAAATATTTGCTTGTTTCCTAAAAATAGACATGCCTGGCAAGTACTTTTTCTCGCGTTCAATAAGCTTGCCATTGTGATATTTGTTTTCAACCTATCTGTCAATCGATCTTCTGCTGCTACTTTCTAAGGATTCTGAAATTCAAAAGTAAAATGCACTGGATGCTCCGACTATATTTGAAGTATTACGGAATTTTTTAACGACGCCATATCTACGGAACGAAGATTTTTTCTTGCTACTAACTCTCACAGAATGTCATGGAAGTTCAAAAATCTTTGTTACTCAAATAAAGTCAAAAGCATTTCGCTATCAGAAGCAAGCATTTCAAAATGAAAAAAATACTAAAATTTACTTGCTGGGGGTGTAGATTCAGTCACAGTGATTTCCTGAGTCTCTTGCATCTTGTGAAGTTCGGGTGGGTCACAGTGGGAAGCAAGATTAGTTTCGTTCACGTTGACTGAAATCAACTGTTCTTCTGTTGGTGAAACCAATAATTCCACAGTTGAATCCTCCGCAATTTGCCATGAGTGAGCCTGTGGAAACGGGGGCAAGCAATATATGGTCAGTTGACCTAGTAACGCCGCAAGTGAAACCAATTGGCATTTTTATCCAGTACAGGATCATTCATCAATGAACTTTTTCCAATGTCAGCGTGTTCAGAGTGCGTCCTTAACTGGGCTTTGTCACGTGATAGTCAACTATGTCACGAAAGGTGATGGAAGGTTAGCGAACACTGTAGCAAGGACAGAGAAATGAATGTGGAAAGAAAATAACAATCCCATGAAATAGTGCACAGTTAAAAACCATACTAGAGGGCCTCGAAATAGACAAATGAACTGTGACTGCGCAACATGTGGTTTCCAGTTGGGCCTGGATTCGTGTCATATTTTCCGTGTGTGTGTATGTGGCCTTGGAAAAGCGAACATCTACAAACATCCTGGGGACCAATCGAAATTCGCAAGTCCTCTAGCTTGCAGCGCAGCAAACACATGTGCGGTTTCTCCGACAGCGGTCGCCTTTCCCACTTGTCAGTATATTCACATGGTTTCTTGTAAGTAAACCAAAGCAGATTGATATCCAAGACAGGACGCGACGTTTTTCGATGAATTTGCCGTTCATGGTACATTCACCCTCTGCTTCAAGATTCCAATTAAACAAGCGGCCAATGGTCAGTTGGTTTACAGCCATATTTCTCCTAATTTCTCTTATAAAATACGCTTAAGCAAAACATTGATATTCATTCTATTTACAGGAGGCCGGTTGCGCGAAATGTAACGTTTTCATTAAGTTTGGTCCAACAACTGTTCTCTGTCAATAGCCATGAATAGAAGATGGACCTTTGGTCAAAAAAGGACAAATAGGATGAAAATTTTTATACTAAATATTGCTTAAATTCACGCTCATCCGTTCATTGTTACCTGGCTATGTTACCTTGGCTATGGCCAATCCAACAGTGTGTTGTGGTGACACATTTGGAGAAAAAGCACTTTTCGTAGAGTCACCTTCAGTAGAACGTTAACACTTAGATAACTTTGTGTTTTGGAAGTAATAATAATGACTATTGACGGCGCACAAATAAACATTGGTTGATGATGTATGGGTGCCAGCTTCAACAATGACCCCCTTATAATGTTTCGAAGAAAACAAGTTGGTATGTGAATCACTACCCACTTGGTTTCATAAATCAGTAAGGTTATTGTAGCTAGGATAATTTCTCGACAGAAACAGCCACAGGAACTAACTGAGGTTCCTAACAGTCTTCTGTACCAAAGAATAATTTAACTCCCGTTTGTTGCGGATTCTAATAGTTTCTGGTGTTTAATTCTATATGCAAAGATGGTTTACTGTTATTCCTTACATCTGACGTTTCACCTTTGTTGGTACTTCCACATTTACACAAAAAACATAATCCTTGTTTGATTCTTGAAAATGAACTTCACAGTCATTACAAGTAGTAGTTTAATCAATTGAGAGTGTACGAACTCAAGCATGGTGAACCGCTTCATAATATAGGGTTATGAAAATGGAAACGAGTCAGACCAATAAGAGGTAATTATGCAGCAGATACACGATCAGCCAATTGAATGCACGAACAGTGAAATATATGATGCAATTTGGTTTGCGACTAAAAAACTGCGCCGCGCTCTTCGCCATCTTACCATACTGTAGACAAGCTAACACGTGACTGACGCACGCAAAAGGATTGGTCTTTTAACTAGAGCAGTTTCGGGAAGAGCTTAAAAACAATACAGTGGACCACACCAAATTAGGTAATCAGAACATCAAAGATGAAGATGATGATGTCATATCTTAGCAAATCCAAAAAGTTCGATCGATATTTTGCCCCTCAAATGAAGCCAAAAAAGCTGAGAACCACTGCACAGTTATCTAAATTTTGTTCAGGCCCATTAACCGTAAGCATCTCACAAATCTCTAGAGGGATTTGAACTCGCAACCTGCTGACTAGTAGTTGGGGACTACACCCTTTGGCCACCAGCGGTTGGAAAGTGGTGTGATTAACTCATAATTAAAGAGGATAGGGGAAGAAATCATAAAAGAATTAGCCGTATCTCGCACTGTCAGCAATTTTTTTATGGTAGTTAAGAGTATTTCATCCTCACAGCCGTTAACCGAAGAACCAATCAGATTGTGATCACTTGATGTTTGTTGTAACGAAAGCAAGACTACTTTTCAAACGCCCATTGTGAACTAGCCGGGAGAGCTTAGAAGTTTCGGACCAAGATCGGTTCGGATCGTGTTAAAAAGATTGAGCGCCATGTGGCGCAGAAACGGTAGCCCACAATAGTCGAAGTATCGGATTATAACGTCCTATTCCACTACGGTGTGTTTTGACTTTGAAATTTTTATACTAGCCGGGAGGCTTCTCGACCCTTTGTCAGGGAGTGGCTTTACTTACAAGATGGAATCTGGACTGAATTTTTTTTCATGTAATGCTACCAACACATTCACCAACTATACATATATATATATATATATATATGTATTGGTATATATGTATTGGTATCTTTACACAGATATTTGTTTTTATACTTTTGTATATATATATATAATCCTAAGGGTATATATATAGATATCCATGTCTATTGACTACGTTGCAGAACTCGCTGCACTGGTTGTTCGTGTGGCTGGATTGTTGTGTGTCGCATCCATGATGCTTGCTGGCCTTTGGTAGGTCACAGTTGAATTTGAGCCGTTTGCACGGGGAAATTTGACATTGTCCCACAGAGCCACACAGACTCCCGGAATCCACTAGGTCGAGTAGATATTGTCTCTCCATTCATGTTGGTTGTTGCCAAATAGATGAGATGATAGGTTAGTGCCTACGGCGGCGTTCTGTTTGTTGATCAGCGTCAGTGCTAGCCCCGATGCTCGCATGAGCCAGCCAGACGTGGCAGGGTGAAGGAAGGAAGTTAGTAAGTGCGCGACAATTAGTGTCGTCAAAGCGTAGATAGAGTAGGTGAGAGATTGGAATAGTGTGTTGACTGGAGAAGGTAGTGGGTCGCGTTCGCGTTCGCGGTCGCGGTCGCGGTCGCGG